TGCAATACGGTGGGCTATTTTACCTACCATCTTGACTGTCCTCTTTCATAAATAAAACTATATTTTGTATACCTATACAAGCTTACATATTTAAATCAACCACGTTGAACGTTTCAAAGCATACTATTTTAGGGCTAATGTAAACAGTTAAAAGTATTTATTTAAAATTAGTGCTATTAGCGAAAACTACATACAATACTTAGTATTATGGATTTGAGCGATTTGTAATTACAGTTTTAGGCGTTGATCGTATTGTTACACGATATGGCGGGTTAAAAGGTTTGTGTTGTTATACAATTATTTAAAAGCAAAATGACTACAATCAGAATACGATTACTTAAAGCATGTTGGATCGTGTAATCTTCAGGCGCTAGATTAAACGTGTACTTAAAATAATTGTGATTTTTTTTGTGCAAATTAGATATATAAAGTTAAATAAGTTTTCAAACGTCGCAAGTATTAAATTGCGCGAGAGGTGCACATAGTCTGAAAAAAATCGATAATGACGTGTAGGTGTCCTACATAGGTACATAGGTAGCTCAGTTCGTTAGAGCAACAGCACGGATCGTTGTCGATGCCGGTTCAAGTCCTGTTGCCTGTGTTATATTTTTGTTTTCTTTTTAAAATTGATTTCGGACAACGTACGGATTGCCATTGAATGCTATTTAATTTCCCAAATCTTTTTATCATCATCATCTAAAATGTTCCCATCTTTCTGAAAGGTGATGGTGATGATGAAAACTTTTTTTGTTGCAATCCAAATGCTATGTATTTACGTTTTGTATCTTTACCATTACAAATTTAAAGAGTTTGTTTATTTGGTTGAAACCAGTTATCTTTGGTTAGTATAACGTTTATTTTTCGTTTATATCCAAACTTACATCTATAAACGTAGTGTCAGTTCGCCATTGTTAAACATTATCATTTTATACGTAGAAAACAGACAAGCAAGATACGCTCTCGATTTATTTTAGCCAATATATTATGTACTACCATTTGACTAACGAGACTGTCAGAATGCCAGGCATTATGCGAAAGAGGCGAACCCTGGAAGGGGTCGAATCGTGAAAAACATTAGAATCTGGACACACGATCAACACGCCTATAAATCGAGCAGTCGCTCGTCCCTTGCCCCACGTGGGGGTAACGGGTTCTACTCGTGTTTTATGTTCGTATAAAAAAATGTTCTATATTTTTCTAACTCTATGTATAATATTTTTATATCGTAACATTCAACTTTTTCCTGTACATGGAATCTGATGAATTCGTGAAAATTCGGAGCCTTAAAGTTTATACGCACGTGATACAAATGGCGTGAATTTATTAAAACTTTTCACTCAAGAGTAACACGGCCCATTTATGAAGTACTGGCTGTGCCCGCCACTTCGTCCGCGTGAAATATTTATTTTGGCCATCTTATTATTTATTTTTCCAAACAATTTCATCAGCTTAGTAAATTATAGAGCGCTGTTACCCACGATGTCGTCAGCGTCCCGTCGTTCATGTAACTTAATCTTCAAAGATAGACATATACTGTCGCGGCTTTTGTTAGGCTAATTTCTTAAGGCAAATCATTCTGTCAAATAATATGTTTGGTTTCTGAACACGTTTTCGCAACGCACACAACGGAAGCCCACAAAGCTGAATAATTTTCTCCGTTTCCACACTTTCTTCTGTTTCTTGCTTCTTTGGTCGAACCATGTTGTTATATAACCTTAAGCCTGGATAAATTGTCTATCCAACACCAAAATTCGATGCGAGAAATTTCCAATACGAACCAGTCGTTCCTGAGAGCGTTCAAACAAACAAACTCTTCATTATAATAATTTTAGTATAAATAGGTATACGGTTCTAGAGCCGGAATAGAAACGAAATAATACTTGAAAACAAATTCGGTTGGATAAAACTTGTAGTGGTGTGGCTTTTATTTGTGTATGTCACACCAGTTATTCAGTGTTTAACGTAAGGGTAGAGAAAAACAATTTTGTACTATCACACTAAATATATATTTTATAGAATACATGTTTATTATTCTAAACACAGATACAATTTGTAAATAACACAATAGCATGCGTTCTTCGTGAATAATATGAACGAAAATACATGATTGTGTAAACACAGTGCAACCAGAAGCATTCCCAAACCAAAAAGCTGGAATTTGAACGCATTATGGCGCGTAGAAGGCGTTAAAATAATTTTAGCACTAAATATAGGGAATGTTATTACTTTTATAGACTAACCTGTATCAGCGACTCCGTCCAGCGTTTAGTCGCTATTGCAAGTTTACCTTAAAAGATTTTTACAATAACAAGGACATTTTTTTAGATCATTTAAAGAGGAGTCATTCTATCACACAATTTTTACGTTTCTTGAACCGTTTTTTTCAGGTCTCAAAAATGAATAATTTTCCTTTCTCGATAAATGCTCTGAGTAACATTAAAAGATTTTTTTCAATTCGAACGAGTAGTTCCTGAGATTAGCGCGTTCAAACAAACTCTTCAGCTTTATCTATTTGTATATATTGCTCATATCATATTTATGATATCATTTTATAAATTCAAGATTTACGTTTGAATTACAAATTATTTGTTAATTCACTGCACATAATTAAGCAGTAATAAATTAATGTGAACTTCGCATACAGTCCCTTAATTAAATGTTGTCAGTGACAAGATTGTTAGTTATGACGGGTCATATTCTAATCCTTATTACGTTAGAAGTTTATAAAATTAAATCCGGTGTCACGAGGAGGGACATTTTGATAAGCTCAATTCTACGTTGCACTGTCTTCATAGTGTTGATGTTTGAAAACTAATAAATAGTTCTACCAAAGCCAAACAATATCTCTACGAGTATCTTTATCTATATATAGTATCTATATACCTATGTATAGTTTTGAGCTGCATTTTACAGATATAAATAAATAAATACAAGAGTTGAGTAGTTTAACCATAATATGTAATTCGTATGTGTATGTGTGATTTACATTACATTAGACCATATTCAAAAACAAATTCTACATTTTCACATAGTATCAAAAATACAGTAATAGTCGGTAAATTTAATTAGTTTAGTTAAACCAAATTTATATTAATTAGATCTTGTGTGTCTAAAGTTTACGCGTTTAATACTAATTAAAATAAAATACTTTTAACGGTTTCAAATGTATTTGTTAACTTTTTTTACAATTTATTTAAACTATGACGCGACGTTGCTGATCTTGGCGGATGTCCAAAAATTGAATTAGCGGCATCTGTTTAAAGTAAATAGTAAATAAGTTAACTTATATATATCGTGTTTTAAACCGTTAAAAGTGTTTTATTTTTAAAATGAATCTGTTTGTTAGTTTTGAATATTGTTGTAGAATTATAAGTATTCGTTAAATATTTTATAGCGTTTGATTAAAAATTTATATTTTGACATAATATAATATGTAGAATGCAGTATGATGCTATTATTTTAATGCAAATGCATTAAGCTTTTAACTATTTACGAGTGGCCCTTAATGTAAAGCGTCATGCATAAGTATCATTAAACCTTATCAGTATTTATTAATTAAATGTGAAGCGAATATAAAAGGCACGCATATATAGTGGGTTCGAGTTCTATCAAAATCCATTCGTGTGGTTGACATATTTTTGTTTTACTAATCAACTTTAATTCCGAACAAATAATTCATCCCAATTTTTTAGAATCACCCAAATTTTATTTGAACAGGATTTGAATATAGGACTTCCGCTCTGTGGATTATTTTAATTAACGAAATATTTATTGATTGGGGATTGGGGATTGGGGATACTTAGTTCAGTATTACTCGTCTATCAAAAATGTATTATTTTGTACTGGAGATCAAGCCACAACAGGTCTTCTTCTCGCATTTTGTTTTACTGTTTTATATGGCTAAAGTATTTCACTTTCCGTCCGTACTCAACCCTATCTCTCTAAAAGGAAATTGGGAGATATTGTAAAGGAAGTTGAGAGAAAGAGAAAGGTCGTAAAGTTGGTGCACAGGTAAGTGTCACGTTATTTTAAGCGGTTTGATAGGCCGTCGCCATAGCAACACTGATTCCCTAGACAGAACCAAGAGCCTAACAAAAGGCCTTTAATTAAGTTAATTTATATATAGATTTATAGTGTACAAGTATATCAATACAACAGACGTACTACAGTAGCGAACAAAGCCTACACAATTGATTACTTTTCTGTATGTAAACAGCTGGCTTCAGAGGTTAATGTTGTCACACATATGAAAATATATTTGAATCATTTATAAGTAGACATTTAAAAACTATTATATTATATTTTCAGACATAGAATATGTAAATATAAAGTCTCTTTTGTTTTTGTTTTGTTTTTTTTGCTTTATTTCAACTGCTTTTCTGTTACATGATTCATATATATACTTCTCTTAGTCAAAATGTTTTATTATTTTTGATGAAAATTATTATTTCCATCAAAATGTCAATTTTTTTTAAACAGTTTTATTTAGCTCAACCCTTAGGGAGTTTATTTATTTGGGTTAAAATTATAAATTGAAATTTAAGCACGTTCTCGTTGTCAGATTGATCTGTAATTTGGTACACACATTTAATTTAGATGACAATACCATATAATAAAAAAATATTATAAATCCAAGATGGCCGACGATACAAGATGGCGGATTACATATTTTTCCTTAACCCCCTCAATATGGGTATTAAATGAAAGGGCTACACTAGTAAAAAACGATGATTATGTCAAATTTTAAATATTTTGTAGTTTTCAGTGCACAAAAAATAGACTTAAAAGATTTTTAAATTGATACTTGTTTACATTGACAACCAATTTTTATCTCCTCATTATACAAAGCGCTTTGAAGTTAAGGCTCATATTTTTCATGTTGCTTTAATATTGAACTTATTGAGATATTAACTCCTAACTTTCGTCTCGTACGTTAATACGAATACTTCAAACGCTCTTGATTTCCACGTTCTGAATTTAAATAATAACATTTGTTCCAGATTGGCATTTGGAACGTCTTTGATTACGCATGTCGAAACATGGTGAACGTAGGCAACAATACCACATCATATGATGAAGTTTTGTATTCTACCGAACTTGTACATCAAAGGGAATCTACCGGCGTATTGATCACAGAGACATGGTCGACACAGAAATGCTTGGAACACAACATTGTAAACACGTCCAGCGACGAGTTGACGAACAGAATTTTCTTCTACAACGGGACCGAAGTTATGTGTTTAGAGCCCGCCCCTATTCTAACGGGGAGCACAATAATACGCGCCAGCATTTTATCAGCAATGGCGATGTTATCATTTGTGGGTAACTTCGCGACGATGATAAGCGTTCAAAGAGGAAAGCGGGGACGGCGGAGGACGCGGCCATCTTGGACGGCGATATACAGCCTGATATTTCAACTGAGCATAGCGGATTTGCTAGTCACGATATTTTGTATAGCCGGCGAGGCGGGGTGGTCGTTTTCAGTGCAGTGGTATGCCGGGAATGTTGGCTGCAAACTGTTTAAATTCCTCCAAATGTTCTCATTGTATCTAAGCACGTTCGTTCTTGTCCTTATCGGGGTAGATAGATGGTTAGCTGTGAAATATCCCATGAAAAGTATGGCTACAGCCACGAGGAGTACTAGATTAGTAATCATCGCTTGGATTCTAAGCTTTTTATTAAGTTTGCCTCAGGTGAGTAAAGGGTTAATTAAAACGGACATGTTTTTGTACAGTTAAATTAATTAAAGCAGAGATGACCTTAATTATAAGCCTGGTAATATTTTTGTATACCTTATTGTTAAAATTTTAAATCAAATTTACGCAAAAAACCGATGTTAACATCATAGAAGCATAAAGTTTAAAAAAAAGTAATTTATAATAATACCTAGTCTGCAGTTTAAGCCAGTAGAACACATTTAAATAAAACACTTTAACGGTTTAAAACGCGATATATATTAGTTAAAAATTATTTTTAAATACGTTTCACTATATATATCCCATCTTAAACCCTTAAATTGTTTTATTTAAATACCGCCATACTGATTTTTCCTGCAGTATAAGCAGAGCATAAAATCAAACATTAATTAGTTTGTAAAGTATAACATCGTAATATAATTTCTAAAGCTGATCATTAATCTTCAGCATTTAAAGGGTTAGAATAGCCACGTTAACGTACCAGATCGTATTAACAGGCGTTTCTTTAGAAATTTTTGTAAATTGGTAATGAAATTTCCAAGAACTAAACTACTTTTCTTTTATTATCAATACCTACAATGTTTGATTTAGTAAGTTATTGTAATTTTAAGTAAATTTGATTTCGAGGATTTTTATATAGTTAAAAGGATATTTGCAGGCTATAAAATATTTATGTTTCATATCGTTAACAACAAAATCGTTTAAGTTCTGGTTAAAAATAATAATAAATAGGAACAAACTCTTTTCCTTTTTTTTTGTAATGATAGAGGAGGACAGATAAAGATGGGATTCACTTAATAGTAAGTGATACACCCCAGCCTATAGCATCCACAGATGCGCTGTCGACTTATATTGGCTTTGGATAGAAACTTAATTATATATTGTTATATTGAACACTCGTGACAATATAAAGCAAATAAAAACTACGACATAATGTATTAAAGTTTTAAAACGGTTGCCTAATATTCTACTAGGCACGAATTTGTCTTCAATTATGAGTTAGCAAACGATTCGGTCAAGTGGGTAGTTTAAATTTGGAACAGAACTTCACTTTTACGGAGGTATCTTTTGTGTACTATACTCAACATTCTAATCCTTTCAGACTATAGTATTTAGAGTGGCAAAAGGACCATTTGTTGAGGAGTTCTATCAATGTGTTACTCATGGATTTTACACGGAGAGGTGGCAGGAACAAGCGTATACTACACTGTCCCTGGTTTTCATGTTTATTCTTCCACTGATCATACTGCTCAGCACATATGTGTCTACAGTTAGAACTATAGCAAGTAAGTTTCATATATTTTTTATTAAGTTTAAGTTAAGTATTGCAATTGTCATTATATAATTAAGAATGTCGTCGTCTGTGGCAGCCGGTTCAAGTTGTCCCCGTGTCGAATTTTTTAAAATTTAAATCTAAATTGGCTACTGTCTATAGTTTACGCGAGTAGTACACATTTAAATAAAACACTGTAACGGTTTAAAACGCGATATATTAGTTAAACTTATTTGAAAATGATTTTTAACTTCGGCCCGACGTTTCGGATGCTTTGCAGCAACCGTAAAACGTCATTTTCAAATAAATTTAACTTCGAATTTGGATGTCTCATGAGATCTAAAATGTTATAATTAATGATTCCTTTCAGAAAGCGAAAAAGTATTTCAACCTGAAACAAGACGAGAGAAATATCTAACCCCCGACATGAATCGAAGGAGACTCATAGACCGAGCCAAAATGAAATCGCTTCGAATGTCAGTGGTTATCGTAGCCGCATTTGTGATATGGTGGACACCGTACTATATTATGATGATAATATTTACCTTCCTTAATCCGGATAAACGAGTGAGTAAAAAAAAAAAAAAAAAAAAAAAAAAAAAAAAAAAAAAAAAAAAAAAAAAAAAAAAAAAAAAAAAAGGGGGGGGGGGGGGGGGGGGGGGGGGGGGGGGGGGGGGGGGGGGGGGGGGGGGGGGGGGGGGGGGGGGGGGGGGGGGGGGGGGGGGGGGGGGGGGGGGGGGGGGGGGGGGGGGGGGGGGGGGGGGGGGGGGGGGGGGGGGGGGGGGGGGGGGGGGGGGGGGGAAAAAAAAAGGGGGGGGGGGGGGGGGGGGGGGGGGGGGGGGGGGGGGGGGGGGGGGGGGGGGGGGGGGGGGGGGGGGGGGGGGGGGGGGGGGGGGGGGGGGGTTGGGGGGGGGGGGGGGGGGGGGGGGGGGGGGGGGGGGGGGGGGGGGGGGGGGGGGGGGGGGGGGGGGGGGGGGGGGGGGGGGGGGGGGGGGGGAAAAAATAAAAAAAAAAAAAAAAAAGGGGGGGGGGGGGGGGGGGGGGGGGGGGGGGGGGGGGGGGGGGGGGGGGGGGGGGGGGGGGGGGGGGGGGGGGGGGGGGGGGGGGGGGGGGGGGGGGGGGGGGGGGGGGGGGGGGGGGAAAAAAAAAAAAAAAAAAAAAAAAAAAAAAAAAAAGAGGGGGGGGGGGGGGGGGGGGGGGGGGGGGGGGGGGGGGGGGGGGGGGGGGGGCGGCCCCCCCCGGGGCCCCCCCCGGGGAGAGGCGGGGGGGAGGGGGGGGGGGGGGGGGGGGGGGGGGGGGGGGGGGGGGGGGGGGGGGGGGGGGGGGGGGGGGGGGGGGGGGGGGAAAAAAAAAAAGGGGGGGGGGGGGGGGGGGGGGGGGAAAAAAAAAAAAAAGGGGGGGGGGGGGGGGGGGGGGGGGGGGGGGGGGGGGGGGGGGGGGGGGGGGGGGGGAGAAAAAAAAAAAAAAACCGGGGGGGGGGGGGGGGGGTGGAAAAAAAGGGGGGGGGGGGGGGAGGAGAAGAGAGAAGAAAAAGAGAGGGGGGGGGGGGAAGGGGGAGGGGGGGGGGGGGGGGGGGGGGGGGGGGGGGGGGGGGGGGGGGGGGGGGGGGGGGAGGCCCCCCCCCCCCCCCCCCCCCCCCCCCGGGGGGGGGGGGGGGGGGGGAAAAAAAAAAAAAAAATTTAAAAGGGGGGGGGGGGGGGGGGGGGGGGGACCCCCGGGGGGGGGGGGGGGGGGGGGGGGGGGGAACCCCCGGGGGGGGGGGGGGGGGGGGGTTGGGGGGGGGGGGGGGGGGGGGGGGGGGGGGGGGGGGGGGAAAAATGGGTGGTGGGGGGGGGGGGGGGGGGGGGCCCCCCCCCCCGGGGGGGGGGGGGGGGGGGGGGGGGGAACCCAAAAAAAGAAAAAAACGGGAGGAAGAAGAATTAAAAAAAAAAAAAAAAAATATTTTTTTTTTTTTTTTTGGGGGGGGGGGGGGGGGGGGGGGGGGGGGGGGGGGGGGGGAAAAAAAAACCCGGCGGGGGGGGAGGTATTTAAATGTTTTGGGAAAAAGGGAAATGGGTTTTTTTTAAATACACCCCGGTTGGTGGGGGGGAAACAAAAAAAATGGGGCCGCCCCGGGGGATATTATACGTGCACACGAGTACCACACACTTGTATGTCATTTTTATAATTTCATACAAACGTGGAATAATTCATATTTATTATTATCCAACTCGAATTGTTCTCTAACAAGTTTCATCACGAAATGTCGGGAAATTTCGTGGAAAATTTGATTAATTAAGGTAGACGTGACAGGTGGTCGTCCTCGCTAACGTGCCTATATCACAAAAATATGCCAGTGATATTATTTTAAAGATTACGGATTAGGAGTACAACAGAGTGTTGATAGAACGAGCGTCAATTAATTCTTAAGTTATTCTTTATTATTGTAAAAGTACTAATGTATTCGTCAAGTAGGTATTAAATATTTTGAATCGGCGTTGCAAAGAAGTGGTAGGAATTCATACTTCAAAAAGACAGTTTATGAGTTTGACTCTGATTAAATCTTGCATGTTTATTATTCAATTTTAATTATTTTCAGTATTTCAATTAGGTTTATGGACATAAAATTGTGGTTATCCAACAAAGTGCAACATACGCTTCGTTAGTCTTAGGAATTTTACAATCTTCAAAGCAGACATATAGCTAAGAAATTGGTTTATAAACGCTTCTTATAAAACTCTTAGGCAAATCGCATTGTAAGCATTTGTAAATACAGCTTTGTAAATCATATCTGATCAGAATATCCAAAGCTTAAATGGTAAGACAGCTTATCAAGCTTAAATCTTGTATGGCTATTAGGATATTTGACTTACCATAAAGTAAACCACATGCTTCATTCTCATGTTCTCTTATAAAAAATATAAGTATGTATTGGTAAACGAAAGTTTAAGTATCTTTAATTGTTCCAGCTAAGCGACGAGTTACTTTCCGGTATATTCTTCTTCGGAATGTCCAATAGCTTAGTGAATCCTGTTATTTATGGCGCATTCCACTTGTGGCCGAAAAAACGCCCTCGCTACAGCGATAAGTATGCATTGTTTTTACATCCCTCGCTCTTTTGTCGATGTTAAAATAATGGATAAGGGCGCAAAAAGTCAAGAGAGATGGATTGACTTGGAACCAGACAAAGGCCTTATAGAAAATACAATGTACACATATGTTGGAAAAATTTGTCATAAACAAAGAGTTTAATTAGAGAGACATTTTAATAGATATTAATATCATCAAATATTTAAAATAGGGTTGATGGATATATTTCTTCTTTTTTTATTTGCGCAAGTGATATAAAAGCCAGTTGAAGTCCACGTCTTCTGCTAACTATTGACATTCGATATTAACATTTGGATATCTTCCATTGGTTATCCAACTCTCACTGGCCCCTTCAAGCCTTCCGGTTTCTTGACAAGTTATTATTATTTACCCTATCTTTAATATCACGTTTTGCTATATTCTCAATTCCCATGTATATTTCTTACCTACTATATTTCCTCTTTTATGATACACAATTTATCAGATTTTATGAAATTTTGTGCTTTGTAGTCCCATTCTACACGTAAATAGTTACAATTTAAACTTTTTCCCAGGGATTCAGGTGGGAAGCATGGTTCCTTATTCCGACGAGGCGACCCGACCTCTTCAATTCGTCTGACAACGATAAGATCTTTGCGATCTTCAGCGAAATACACAAACGGCCAGCACAACATGAGTATATTATAACAAAACGTGAAACCTCACCTTCAGTCTTGGACGATTAGAGAAGAGAGTAGTCATAAGGAAAAATAGACAATATGAAATTGTGTGTGTGATTAAAATGTTTTTAAGAAATAAGTGAATTGTTTAGTTGAGAAATGATATGGTATAGTAAAATAAGTCAAAGTCTGTGAACAAATATACATATATGCGTTATTCACGCCAAACACTCTCACTTCGTTGAAAAATAAATTCTATATAATAACAACGATGGATTTTTTTTTCCATTTTTGGCAATAAAAAGTCTCTGAGCTTGTTTTTGGTAAATTAGTTTATTTGCCTTGTGTAAATTGGAGATTATTTGGGAGGCAATAAATTTGTTGATATTATTACTCTTAACAAAAAAATATTGTATAGTCAATTTGACGCCTAAAACAATTATCAAACAGATTAAATTTGTTCATAAATTGATTCTAGTCATTGTAGATTAAGTATAAAATAAGTGAACATTAAGTAAGAACGTAAAATTTGTGTTTTAAGCTATATTAAGTCTTATTAACTGAAGTGTCATTCTCATAGCCACAAGAAACACTTATTCATAGTACAGCCTTTTAAGAATATATAAAAAAAAAAGAAAAAATACTATTAGAAATTAAATTTATTATTATTATTAAAGTGTATTCAGAAAATTCATTTGCAGATAATATGTCTCTTAAAATCTTTGTGGGTTAAACATTGTATAAAAAATTCGTTACTGAGGTCAAAGAAAGTATCTTACCGTTATGTGATTCTACAATAAGAATTGGAATATAAGGCTGCTTTTCGTTTTTTTTATATTATATATTTCATTGTACGATAACTTACTTGATAATTTGATTGATACAAAAACAATCATGTAGAAAATGAAAATCCATTTGACAGACAAAATAGAGCTTTTCCAACAAGATTTGCTACTAAGACAAGTTTATAAATAATATTGAAAAGCTATTGGCAGTCTTTGAAATTGGAAATAGTTAGTCTTTTTAGGAATAAAATGTTTGTACAGTAGTGAAAGCTACACATCAGGTACACAGAACTTTTTCAAACGATGTATGTAATTATTATGTAAAAATAAAAATGTTTTACTATTGCAATGGTTTTATTTAAAGTGACAAACCTATGTTAAGCGCTATTGCGCATTGTCAACTGGTCGCCGGCGACTGAGTCTCCTGCGATCGTAAGTTGCTATGGTTTTTACGCACTTTTCTCAGCTGACTTCAGCGTACTAAAGCTATATACTTACTTTAAATAAACAATGTAATATAACTTGTATTAATACACATTTATAAAAAGGATTTGAAAGAAATATTTACACGCGAAAATTACAAAGTATTAATGTAAAATCCATTTATCGTTTACCCTTGGGCAACTACAACGACAACTTATTAAAACAAAAAGTTTTATGATGTTTGTTAAAGGATAAAATATTCAATTTACGCCTTATTTCACAAAAGTATTGTACTTTATAAATAAAAAACATAATGTAATTACTTGCCCATCCATTATTTAGGGGAAGGTAACTTAATTCTTAAACTTCGGCAGGTCAATTTCTTAATTGTAATTGTCCGGTTAAAGTTTCAGTAAGGGAAGAACTTCATTGTAATAAAATTCCTTGTCTGTATTCAGTTACAAATAAATAATACAATAAAATATTAAGCCCCTTTGTATTTTAAATGACATTAATGTCCCACTAACGTTTTACATGTGACAATTGGTAGAAATATAAATGTTTGTTACTTCTCTTCACCAAAATAAAGATACGCAAAGGTTATCGCTTGCGTAGTTAAGTATAATTTGTAAAAGTCGGGTCACAATTATTATAAATATGTATATAAGTAAAAATCGACAATAAATTGAAAAAAAATTCCGGCATCTTCAGCGTTCCATTCTGGTGCTCTACCAATTGAGCTACCGAGATTTTTAAATATATATAGTGCCTTCTTCATGTGCAATAACATGAAAATAAAAATAATAAAGTTTGCAAATGTATATAAGTATTATTTCGCATTTGAAGGCTCAAAATGGTTCCTAATTAAAAAAATTGATATAATAAAGACTCCAATTGCTATACTTATTAGTTGTTATAAAAATCTTTTAAGATTATTAACATTATGAGTTCAATAAATAAAACACAATGACTCCAATAACTGTAACATAATATTGTTAATTGAGTGGCGTTAGATAAAATTCAATCATAATGATGAAGTCATTTTCCAATTACTCGGAAACAAACCGCCTTGGGCAACATAGGGGTCTCCTTTTATATTACCTAAGGTATATACGAGTATATATAGGTCTACTTTCAACCTGACCTTCTTATTTAATGACCCGAATGATATTTCGCGAAACACACAGTTTTTTATAGTATCGCAAAAATATTAGATTACTTGCTGTCCCTTGGTCGAGTGTTATATTAGATGGTTCGATTATTAAACATTGTGTACAAACTAATACGAGTTCTTCAGTTAATCTTTACTTTCAAAAAACACTATTAACGTTTTATAATGCAAAATATATTTGTTACTTATTATCAGTGGTCGTAGAGTTATTTTTTTTTTTAATTTTTATGTAGATAAAACACTTAAACTGTTTAAAATTTAACTGATGTTGAGTTAAACTTATTTGAAATGTATTTTAACTACGGCCCGACGTTTCGGATGGTTTACATCAGCCATGGTCACGGGGAGACTAAAGAAAGGTGTCTTTGACGTCAAAGTAAAAACTGCTTCGCAAGCGCCAGTAGTTGTGTTTTATTTGAATGCATACCTCGGGTAAACTACAGACAGTATTTACATGTCCACAACTCCAACCACAAACGATAAATTAGACTTAAACCCATTATTTTAGTCTAAAAGTACATCGTCTGATTAACTTAGATGTAAGATAAGTTTTTTTTACATGTCTCGATGTTAGCTTGCGTGCCTAATACTACAAATGTATTTAACCTTTCGTTATCACATCACGTGCCAGTACTTCCTGCGTAATTGACTATTAATTCCGATTTATCTGAGGTTAAGCCTTCAGTTCGATATCATGAGATCTAATCTGTTCTCGGCGCCTATGCCAAATCGTTTCCGTTTAATGGCCATTTTGAAGTATTACAATAATTTTAAATTTCATTTGCATATCAATATGCAAATTTAAATATTTGATGTTTTTAAATATGGTCTGAAATTCGATAGTAGAAGTAAAACCCGTGAAATTATAATCTATTGATTTTTAGTTACCAAAGCCAGAAAAATAAGTGAAATCAGAGAATAAGTTAAAAGTTTGTCTGGCCTCACCATAGAAAAATAAAATCAAGAAAACTATTTGCCCTAGTCCAAGGAACATCAAAATTTAACGTTGATCTTATATTCGACAATAGGTCGAATATAAGATCTGGTATAAATAATATACCAGATTAGAAAGTCTATAAAATTACGCCAAGAAACATAATCAATTATATTATTGAAAGATTGTTTAGAAAAGATTGCGTTAAACATTAGAGTTCCTAGTTTGAATCCTAAAAAATTAATTGCTCCGGTCGGGCGAAACTGTTCATTTGATTGCCAGTAATTGAAACCGATCAAATGTGTTCGCTCCATGCGCTACAGAGGGAAAAAGAATTACTTACGCTTTGCATTCTGTTATATGTTGACCTAAGCATAGGAAGTATCTAATTAGTTAAAGATAATCTCGCTAGCCTTCCACATTACGTAGGTGTGAGAATTTTATCGCCAAATACGGGTTCATACCATACGTGACGAAGCGTCACTAGACATATGTATGAGTATGAATATTAATGTATGATTCATTAAAGAAAAAGATAGACATTTATAAGTACCCGTGCCCGAGACTTCGTCCGTATGCATTTGTTATTTTGGGCATCAAAATTTATTTTTGCAAAACTCCTTTCCCTTCTTTATAAATTCTATCTGTTACCCATGAAAGATGTATACTATCGCGGACATATTTTTAGATCATTTAAAGAGGAGTCTTTCATATATGTTAAAGAATGGATCAGTGAAACGAACACAGACATATGTTCGCCCCATGCCCCACAAGATGGAAATGGCATTTCATACACTACATTACTTTCTATTATTATTATTATTTCTATATATACTTTACTTTCTTGAACTATTTTCGCAGCGCATGCAATGAAAACTCACAAAGATGAATAATTTTCCCCGTTTTTCCACACGTCCTACTGTTTATTCGCTCCTATTGGTCACAGCGTGATGTTGTAGGTTAAAGCTTTTCTCGATAAATCGACATAAAAATATTTTAATTCGGACAATATTTCAATCAAAAGCTCAGATCTAACAATTAAATAAATTAAAACAATGTACAATAAACATAGGCGTAAATCTTTAATATGAAACTCTAAGACAAAGACATTCAATATTTGGGTGTAATGTCATGAGACAATTTCCTTGACAAAGCTTAATCCTTTATTAATTGAGTCGGTATTATCTATGCATAATTTGATAGATTATATTTCCATGTAAAGCTTCTTATTGTATATATACCCAAAGCGGAGGTTTTCATTTGAACATAGTGCTAATATAAAATCATTTATAGCTCAGTTCAATTCAAGTTCAATAAAAAGTGCTTACGGTAAAAGTTGGTACTGATTATTGCGTTACTATAATATGTGCACTGTAGATTAAGGCGTCAGTTTAAGTAACGTTCCGTTTCACTCTTGTCGCGAACAATAAATAAGAACTGAAGACGATTTTTGATAAAAAAAAATATTATAACCCTGCCCTGCTTGATCCGAAATTATCATAAATAAAATGTGAAAAATATTAAAGTTTTCAAACAAATTATGGTTTAATACTTTAGCTGTACCACATACGTAATATAGTAAATAATTACAATCTGTAGTATCTTATGTTTAATCCAGCCCGAATGTTTTAGGCTACAAATAAAGTAAATTAAAGGAAAAATGAAATAAAAGTGCTATATTTAAAACATAGTGTTATAGATGTTTTTAATGATTC